CCACCACCTCCTTTCTGAGAAGACTTTGAGCCAGGAATTAGCCTTCAGAAGGCATCCTAGGCTGGCTAGAGTTTTCTTTACTAGAAAAGCTTGAGGAGAAATTGTGAGAAATTTTCTAAAATTAAATCCCAACATCCTCTCCTCCTTCTTTCTCAAGAGTTAACAAAAAAAGTTTAAAGTTGTAGTTAGACTTATTTTTTTTTTTACCCAAAGTGAATCACTTATTTTAACTGATATTTCAGAGATTAGTTGTGTTTATTGATTATGTTAGTTTCTGATTCCAACTAACAAGGTCAAAAGAAAATTGGTGATTCTGGTATTCTATTCAGGAAATATGCTCAGAGACTTTCTTTAGTTCCACCACAGATTTAGAAATAAATGCATTACAATTTATTATTTTACAAGTATGTAGGAATCAAGATGGAAAGTTGCTGTGTTCTTTCAACTTTGCATTTATCCTTTGTTGCAGGTGTGAATGGAAACAGGTGCTCTGAGTCATCAACTCTTCTTGAGAAATACAAAATTGGAAAGGTCATTGGCGATGGCAATTTTGCAGTAGTCAAAGAGTGCATGGACAGGTGAGTGGATGGTGAGAGTAGCAGTCATTTGTTCACCTACATGTACATGTCTCCCTTGGAGTTTATTCTAATCTGTATAAACCAAAGGCCTTCGGAGAGAGTTTACCCTTGGGACCAGCTGTTTTGCATGCCCACAAGCAATTTGACAGGGGAAAATATATATATACACGTAGTGCAAACCTTTGTATTTGGACTAAGTGCTATGTCAGGTCTCATCCATGAACCAGAGAAAAGTGGGAAAGAATAAGATTAATTTTTTAAAAATCTCCCATAGTACATACCTGTGCCAGGCATCGTTCCCAGTGCTTTCCTTGTATTAACTAATTTAACCCCCACAATAACCCCCTCGATTAATACTTCACTGCATATACCAGTAGTTTAGGATACATGAGCTCTGACACCATTTCAGATCAGTATCTTAAACTTTTGCCTATATTAAAATTATGGTTTTGCCGAGCTTTCTTTTGTTTAAAGTCCTAAATTCCCAAATGGTAAGAAATCCCATTCTTTTAAATTTCAGGCCTTTTGTAAACAATATTAGAACTGGAAATGACTCAGCTTAGAGTCTTTGTGTTTATACGCTGCTTTCCTACCTGTTCTAAGTGGTCATTTTTATTCTTTGTGGGAAATTTTCCAGAAAGTTCTGGTAACTACAGTTTTTCCATCCTGCTGCATCTACAGTGAGGCTTTAGTGCTCCTTATATTGGTGCACAAATAGCTCCCTGTCCCCCAGCCCTTCTACTCAGCTCTGGTACACAGATTGCTGCCCAAGTAACAAATTAAACATCTAAAATATGACTTCTAAAGACTCATGAGAAATCTGAGGCAGGGTTTGGTTTATGTTATGGGGAAGCAATTTAAATAAAAGTTATTTTTCCAAGATTGGCCTCATCAGTGTGTACCATGACCACCTGGCAAAAGCAGCTGTGTTGGAGAGAACTAATATATTCCAAGAATACTGCAGTGTTCTTTGTTGAACTGTTTTCTTATATACTAAAAGTTTTTTGTTTTTTTTTCTCATGTTCTGGATAAAATATGTTAAAGGTGATTGAATGTTAAAAAACAATATCAAGATTCTTGTGTCCAAGTAAATGATCTCTCTAGTACCAGATACGGTCATTTGAAGGAGTGGGTAAGATGGCGCCAGATGGCGTTTTGGCTGATTTATAGATACTGAAAATCTAGGGACTTTTCAGTTTTGAATTACAGACTAATTAGCGACTAATGGATTAATGTGAGGACATATTGATAATAGGAAAGTTTCTGGTGCTTTGATTCATTTTTCTTAATTTTTTTCTGCCTCCTAAGAGATTTGTTGTATTTATTGATTATGTTGGTTTAAGTATGGGTTTGGGAAAAACATTTTCTTGTCCAGGGCTGATACAGCAGAGTTTAAGTACTTTAATATGTAAGTTATATAATAATATAATTATCAATATTTATAAAAGGAGATTAACAGTGTGGCTTTGGATTTTTTCCTTCTTTTTTGGGTACCTTTCCCCCTGACTCCAATCTGCATTGTCTCCATGTACAGAGGAGCAAGGCAGCCTTTGTTCCTTGAGCCTGTGCTGTAGAGGAAATCAGGAATGATGATGGCGTCTGTGAGTTATGTCCTTAAATGGCCTTCCTCTGATTACTCCATAGGTCCACCGGAAAGGAGTTTGCCCTGAAGATTATAGACAAAGCCAAGTGTTGTGGAAAGGTACAGTATATATAACTGCTTTGTAAAAGACACTGAAAACTGTGGTGAGATGTTTATTGTGCTGAATGAGTTTAAGTGGGGTTTGACAAGACCGTAATAAGAGTAGACCCTTGATAATAATGGGGGAAACACTATCAAGCTTCCCCGCCCCCGCCATTTTTCAGAAACCTTAGGTTTAAAACAGTAAATTGACTTGATCGTGGTCCTAACTATCAAAAAAAAAAATTTCTCTTCTCTGGGAGATGCCTATTTCAAAACCTAGTAACACACAAAAGATTTACCAAGAGCTGTGGCGAGTCTGAGACTTCATCCTGTTTTCAAACTAACAAGTAAGTTAGCCTTCCAGCTTTATAGATTCTGACAGAAGAGACAAGATTCCTCTGTCAGAGACAAACATCTTTTTTTTTTTTTAAAGATTTTATTGGGGAATTGAGGAAGAGGAACAGTGTTGGGGAATTGGGAAGGGGAACAGCCAAGTTTGTCCTTCAATCTTAGTTGTGAAGGGTGCAGCTAGCTCAGCTCCAAGGCCAGTCACCATCCGAGCTGTTTAGCTTAAGGTGTTGGGTTCAGTCTTAGTTGTAGGTGGGCATAGCCCACCATCCCATGCTGGAGTCGAACAGGCAACCTTGTTGTTAGGAGCATATGCTCTCACAAGCTGAGCCATCCTGCCACCTGTTGGCAGCTCAGTGGGAGCTCAGCTCGAATGCAGCTCACTGGCCCATGTGGGAATCGAACCGGCGATCCTGTTGCTCAGAGCTCACGCTCTTAACCAACTAAGCCACTTGGCCAGCCCCGAGACAAACATCTTTATTATTCATGGCATGGCAGTTAGCATGAGCTCCATGTTTGTATCAGTTCTCCTTAACTCCCCGGTCCCACAGGAAGTGATGCAGACGGGTCCAGCTAGATGCTGTGCACACAGGTTCCTGTCACTTTACAGGATCCCCAAGCTTAAGAAACCCCCAATCTTCTCAGGGAGCTGCTAGCAGCATATCTGCCCAACCTTTGCCCCAGAGGAGAACATTATTTTAATGATCATGCTCAGGAAACAAATCTGCCCTGTGCTCCTGAGGGAGACCCTGTCTCTTTTTGCTATACAGACACCCTTGAAAGGATAGTTTGTAAAACAGCTATGCAGAAACACCATGAAGAATTCTCTCTCCAAACAGATGAGCTTTTTTCCTTTGTCCCCCTCTCAAGCTGGGGCTGGGAAAAGATTAAATGATGAAATGCTGTTAGGGTACTGATACTTTAACTACGTTTAAAAAGATAAATATTCTTTAACAGTGACGACAAAGACCTTTGCAGATTCCTTTCTAGTAGCATAGCAGTTAGGCTTTCTTAACTGTTCAACCCCAGAACTGCTAGCCACAAGTGGCTACTGCACATTTGAAATATTAGTCTGCATTGAAATGTACTGTAAGTGTGCAATATGCAACAGATTTGAAGACTGAGTACTACGAAAAGAATGTAAGATACCTCATTAATAATATTTTTCATATTTGAGTACCTGTTGAAATGATAACATTTTGGATATATTGGGTTTAATAGTTATATTACTAATTTTACCTGCTCTTTATATTTTTTAATGTGACTGTTAGGAAATTTAGATTTATATATGTGGATCATAATTCTATTTCTGTTGAACAGTGCTATTGTAGAGCCAGATTATATGAAGTTTCTTTCTGGCTCTGCCTCTTTTTGCTCTGTGACTTTGGAAAAATTACTTAACCCCTCTGTGCCTCTGTTTCTCCCTCTAATATCTAAGACATAAAATTGTGAGGATTGATTTAATTAAGGCACAGAAAACATGTAGAAAATTACCAGTATGTAGTAAGAATTTAACACGTTAACTGGTAATATTAATATGCCTGAGGAATTAAAAATTTATAATTAGGAAGATTTCCTATGATAGTAGTGATTTTATATTTATGGAACTTCTAATCTGGTCTTCATTGGACATTTACAAAATTGTGTATTTTTAACATAAAACTTAAAATTTTATGGTAAAGTTTTAGAAAAATCTTCTCAGTTCCCCAGAACAGAAAATCCAAGAGGCAAAATGTCATATACTTTTTTTAAACTATACTGTGACAGCTGAGACTATACAAAATGTACCTCTTTTCTTTGAATAAGGTTTTTCTAAATTTTCTTTAAATCATTCTGTGTGCTTTTACATATTGTTCTAAAAGCAATGTTAAAATTTTCAACTGCAAAGCCTTTTTTCCATGTGTAAATAAGTATTGCTCTTTTTCTTTTTATCTGGTATTGTGTGATATAAGTAGAGTGTGTCATAATTTTGGGAGGCAAGTTCTTAACTGTATTTTTTCAAAAAAGTTAAAAAAAAAAAGGAAAAAATTGCTGTGGTAGGAATATTGTTTACCTGATTAAAATTTAAGCAGCTGTTTCAGTAGTTGAATAAAAAGATCTTTCTATGCAAAAAAATTCAGCCTAGTACATTAAGTGCTGAGGCAAAGGAGTAGGTTACTTCCAACATTGAATCTTGTTTTTCCTTGTTATTGAATGTCATTCTGTTTTTATAATGCGTGATCATATACTTATTTCCATCTTCCCATTTGGTTTCTTTGAACAAGTATTTCCACATTGACTATATAAAATTATAGTTTCAAAACTTGATTGGTTCCGCATAAGTTGATTTTCCCATTATATTTTGTTTTTAGAAAAAAGTGGCATAGTGAATGTGTTTTTTAACCCAAAATTTAGGAGGGGTCATTCAGCCACTGTTTTGGGATATTGTTGGTCACATCTGCTTTGTGGATTGGACACAGAAAATTAATGACCCTGAAAATAATCCCTCCCACGTATTAAAATGAAGTGTCCATCTCGGCTTGGACATATAGGAACTTTGCACATTACTTTTAAAGGCTTGTAAAACAGATGTACCAGTTGTACCGATAAGGAATCAGAGGTTCAGATTAAACAATTTCCCACAAGTCACACAGAGGCAGAGAGGTGATTGGAATTTGGGGCTAGTTGGTTACTGAGCCGGTGCCTTGGCCAACAACCTACCATGCTCCCTCTCCACATTCAATGTCTTTGTTCATGCAGTAACCTCTCTGGACTTCTGTTTGCTTATTTGTAATACACATGAGCATATGAGATACATTTACTCATTTACCTAAAATGTGGTATGTGTGCAAGATACTGTGTTAAGAATGGGGTATTTTCACATATGCGTTAGTACCAGTTCTGCAGAGTGTTATGGGATTTGGGGAAAAGCATATGAGAAAAAAGCCAGTTCTGCAGAGTGTGGGGAAAAGCATATGAGAAAAAAGTAGGTCGTCAGTGAAGACTCCATAGAGCAAGAAGCCTTTGAGCTGGACCTCCAGCAGCGGGTCGGATTTCTGGAGGCAGCAATGGAAGAAAAGCCTTCCAGGTGGCGAGCACAGGCTGAGCTAAGGCCAGGAGGAGAGAAGAAAGCATGCTGGCTTCTTCTAAGTAGATTACTGCAGGGTCTGCCTTGGGGGGGCAGGTTTATGGAGGCTGCTGAGAAGGCTGTGGTGTTTGTAAATGTAAGAATTCTTCCATGTCTAATAGTCTAAATCATATTCACCCTAAATAAATATTTGTTGAATTCACACAGTGTCCGAAGCTCTGAGAGTTCTGGTAACGGTGCTTAGAAATGGTTCTTCCTCATCGTCCCCGTTTTGCCTTCATTATGTGTTAGGGGCCCAGACACGCCATAAATCCTAATGTATGTTGTAGTAATTTCCTGAGTCTGTTGGAATAAATTACCACAATCTTGGTGGCTTACCACAACAGAAATTGGTTCTCTCACAATTCTGGAGGCTAGAAGTCTGAAATCCACACACCTTCTGGAGGCCCTGGGGGAGAACCTGTTCCTTGCCTCTAAACAGCTTCTAGTGGCTGATGGTGTTATTTTGACTTCTGGCCACAACACTCCAATCTCTGCCTCCATCTTCACATCAGTTTCTCTTCCTTGTGTTTGTTTTTCCTCCCCTCTGTGAGATCTCCCTCTTATCTCATAAGGACAGTTGTGATGGCACCCAGATAATCCAGAGTTATCGGGCATCCTTGCAGAATCCTTAATCACATCTGCAAAGACCCCTTTTCCAAATAAGGTAATATTTACAAGTTCCAGGGACTTGGTATCTTTGGGTGGCCATTGTTCAATCTACTACATATCTCTACCACAAAAGTCAGGTATAGTGATTTAAACATTTTGTGTCTGACTGTATTATCCTCGCAGTGCTCACTGAGCAATGCAGATAACCTGCTGTGAAGCCAGGTTAGCCAAGATCAATGCATGAGGTGCTGACTCATTCATTGCAGCACTTGAGGACTCGCCAGCCATGCTCCTTGCTGGAGAGCAAGGTAAACAAAAGCCTCGAGGACAGCAGGATGAGAGCTGCGGCTGGAACATGCACAGAGGCCATGGGAGCAAATAGGAGTACTTAACCCAGCCGTGGTTGAGCAGGGGAGGCTAGTTACAGGAGGAGAGATCTAATCTGGTTCCAAAGAATAAATATAATAGTAGTTCACCAAGAAGTGAGGAAAGAAAGTTCCAGACAGAGAAGCTACCTGTGCAGATGCCTGGAGGTCTAGGTGGGACGCGGGAAATGGGGATAGAAGTGAATGGATGGATTCAGAGGCTATGGAGAAGGGAGACCTGGCAGGTGATGGGTTGTCTGTCCTAGAGGATGCGGGAAGGAGGATCGGGGGGAGTTCCCATCTGCTTTGGGCAGCCAGGGTCCCGCCGTGAGACAGGACACCCGAGCAAAGACTGTTTTGTGGGACTGGGGAAGGTGGAGACAAGATGATGAGTTTGGTTTGGGAGAGTTGTTTATTTCCTTATCCACTCCTCTCCCTCCCTCCTAACCTCTTCCTCCTCCCCTCCCCCCCTCCCCTCCCCCACTTCTCTCTTTTGTGTATTAAAAACCACCATGGCCAAAGATGAGGCGGTACCCTTTGCCAAGTCAGCAGTTTTCTTTGTCATTTACTCTCACATAGAACCATGGAACATTGCCATGAAATGATTCATATGTAAATTATTTGGACTCAGAATCATGAATCACTTAACATAAATAATGGTAGATGATCGAATAATGTAAGTTCAGTGCCTTTCCAGACAAAAGTGATGTCCATATTGTATTTAGAAATATTTTCCTAGAAAATGTCATCTCGTGATTATTTTTACGTATTAGAGAAACGAAGATTGCTTATAGGTTGCATAAGAGATAGGAAGATAACATGTGTAAAGTTTTTGATGCACTGCTTTTGTTTTGCTTCCAATGATGATTAGTTTAAAAAGTGGATTGTTTTCTTTATAGACAATTATACAGGCATAGTTAGAGGTTGGGGAAACAGGCTAACCACAGCTCCCACATCCCAACAACATTTGCTGTGTGCTTGGAATACTAGCCATTGTCGAACAGGATACAGTAAGCTGAGATAATAATTAGCGGCGGGGAAAATGTTGCCGCAGTCCTCACTCCATATTTGAAATGTAACACTGCCCGTGGTCTGGGGGAAGTTCTACAACACATCCCAGAAGGCTTTCTGTTGTGCCATTATTGAAAGAGATAACTTTGGGGAGATGCGGTCTCCTTAGGTGATATAGACATCTTATTTTAACTCCAACGTGAGAGAGTTCTTGGGGGTTCTTTTACACACTTCGCTCTAAGTTAGCATCACAAACAGAGCCTCTGAACAGAGAGAGGTACATTTACAGACTTCCCAACTTGGGAGGATGTGATGAGGGAGGAGAACTGAAGTGATAGATCCATTCAGCTTTCAAATAAAATCCCTCTTTTACTGCAGTGGTAGTAACGACTGTTGTTTTGGCTTCACATAGAGTGAAATAAATTCATTTGCTTGCCTTTACATGTTCACACAAGTATGTCTAATTCTGCTCTTCAGTGTGAGTAAGGACATGCCGGCCACAGATGATGCGAAGGCTTCGAAACGAGCGAACAAATGTGGAGTGTTCGCAGAGCCTTTGTCTCCATGACCACAAGGGGCTGGCTGTACGGCTGCTTCCCTCAGGAGGGATGATGGTGCCCACTGCCTGCTGCTTTGTGCTGCTGCTCTGTACCATGTAGACATACGGGATTGGAAATGGGCAGGAGGCCCCGTCCCCAGCCTCCCAGGGCGGTGTGTTCGGAGCTGAGAACCGCTGTTCTTCTAAGTCCTAAGCTGAGCCTTGCTCATTCAGGGGCATAGATTTTTCTGCCTGCACAGAGCCTGCTGTGGTTCTGTCTTGATGCCCTACTCAGTGTGATGCAACAGCTAGTTCCTGTCTTTGTAAGGAATTCAACATTTTCAGCTTTGCAGCTAACATTTTCATTTTGCAAGATTTCAGCTTTTCCTGAAGCGTTTCCCTTGGAACGGTGATGTTGTGTAGTACAAGAAAGTGGGCTTCCATGTCAGAAACCTCCGTCTGGATTCCCCCCCTCAGAGGACTGTTCTAAAGATAAAGTGTTAGAACATGATGCAAGTACATTGCACAGCAACAGACAAGTGGTGACTAGGTTCCTAGGCAGTACTGGTGGTTTTTTTTTTCCCCACCTCTGTCTAGCATTTGCACTGTCATTTGCCGGCATTTACTGAGTGACTGCTTGGGCAAGTATAGTGCACGCCGTGCTCAAGAAACACGGCCCAGCATGCAGGAGCTTGCTACAGATTTTCTCTGGATGTTATTTATTCATTTGTTATCATTTATCCTTCCAACGCTTGTCAAAAAGCATTTGAGATGGCGTAGAGTAGACATACATCTATGCATGGATGCATGAAGTTAAGAGAGGAGCCATAAGCAGCATCCTGACCTGGAGGTGATGCAATTGTCTTCCTTCCACAGTAGAACACTACATTTAGTTCTGAAATTCATGGTAGCCAAGAGACAGTAAGGGAGTGTGTGTGTGTGTGTGTGTGTGTGTGTGTGTGTGTATGGATATATACATATGTGTGTATTTAGGTAGCAAATAGTGTCTATTATAAGGTGAATTTTATATAAAAGCTATATTTGATTACCTAAATGTGTTAGAGGGTAATTAGTTGATTTTACAGAGTGTACTCTAAATTCAAAAGAATTCATTATTACAATTAATTAGGATCAACAATGTGACATTATTGAGAGGTTTTCATGCCACATGATAAAATAAAGCCATAGTTGTTCATGATTCAAGATTGGTGTATAGAGAATAATTTATTAATTCTGCGAGAACACGTTTTGCTACAGTGTGAATCCCAACTGTATGACTGACTCACCAGGACTGATAATTAGTTGGTATTTTCAGAGGAGAAGTGATCAGAGTTAAAATGAGCATAGTGGCCCCATGAGTACAGTACCCATGGTACAGTGTGTTTCCTGATTTCTGAAATAACAGCATGATAAGGAACAGCCTCTGGTGAATGATTTCATACCCTGTCATAGAGGAAGGAAGTTTGTTTTTCATGAATTTCAACATAACATTCAAATTTATGTATTGGGTCTTCGGAAAACTTGATGTATTTTTTCTGTTTTTTGTTGCAAAAATGCGTCATGACTTTTCTGACAACCCAATAGTAATGGTTTAAAAACAAGACATTTTAATGCCTAAGGTTGCACGCCATAAGCATGCCAAATTCCCTTCCACAGTCTTTGTTTCCACGTATACTGAAATTAAACAGTGGTTCCCACTGAATTACAAAGCACAGTGCCATGTGCCCAAGCTTTCATAGCATCCCAACCCCTGAAGGTGCTGGAAGCAGTGAAGAGACAAGGAGGCAGTCGGTTTCGGGTGCCAGGGCAGCCCCATGGAGCCCTTTTGAAGGCTGCTTGGAAGGAGGCCTGTTTCTTTTGGTTGGTGGCAATGAGATGTTACACTGACTTGTCCTGTCTCTATGGAAACCCACCAGGCCAGTGCTTTTGCACCAGGGGAAGTGCTTCCTTCAGCATCAGATCTACAGACTGTGTTGTGACTGTGTTGTTCTCCAGGACAGAGCGGAGGGCTCTGTGGTTTCTGACCCACCTCTACACCCTTTGTTTGACAGGAACACCTGATCGAGAACGAAGTGTCAATCCTGCGCCGAGTGAAGCATCCAAACATCATCATGCTGGTGGAGGAGATGGAAACAGCTACTGAGCTCTTTCTGGTGATGGAATTGGTCAAAGTAAGAGGATGGAGAGATTTCAAGACATTTAATTGGCACCACATCCCAAGACTTACCATGTTCTTGAAGGAAGAGGGTTTTGCTACCTTGAAACTTTATTTATAATCATCAATGTTAATGCCACTTGTGTCATTTTTTTTAATCTACTCCAGGCCGATGAACCTTCTTTGTATCCTTCATGGGATTGCCACTGTTGATGTATTGATATGTTTGTGTCTTTTAGGGTGGCGATCTCTTTGATGCAATTACCTCTTCAACCAAGTACACCGAGAGAGATGGCAGTGCCATGGTGTACAACCTGGCCAGCGCCCTCAGGTATCTCCACAGCCTCAGCATTGTGCACAGAGACATCAAGCCAGAGAACCTCTTGGTACGTCAGTTTGCTTCTTCTGCTCCAACACATGCCTGTCTCTTTCTTTAAAATGACTATAATCATATTCAAACAATAACATTTTAGAGTCTATAGCAATCCTGCAGGGAGGGACTCAGAGAGTTTAAATATAGAAAATCAGCCCGACACAAGTCAATGACCATAAAATATTAATGAATTTCTTGAATTGATCTGCATTTCTTTTGTACCAGACATTAGAAAATGTGTTTTCACTTACGTTTTGATTAATGATATCCACCAAAGAAAGGTGAGCAGGAAAATTATGAGGCAAAAAATTCTGAAGAATAAACTGGAGACAGAATTAGAGGCTTATAGGAGACAAAAGAACATAAGGGTTCATTTATGTGCAGGACAGAACTTTGGAAATCTCGTCCATCCGTCTCAGCTTTACAGATACGGAAATTGAGACCCAGGGATGCTAATTTTCCTTGCTTAATAGTCTCATTTGCCCCGCTGTTCCACAGAAGAAAGCCTTGTTACACTGTGGTACTCAGAGGGCTTCATGGTCTGGACCCAATTTACCTTTCCAACCTCCTCTCCTGTCACAGCCTTTCCTCTCCCATCTGGCAAGTGTGGCAGTCACCTTCAAGCCACATTGAACACACCTTCCTAGTGGCCTCCATAATTAAATGTAGCTTGCTAATTGGGCCCATCCCATGTCTACATTGCAGAAGAATTTTAGAGAAGCTGATTGGGGAGTTCTGCATCCCCCCCAAACATACACAAGACAGTTGGTTTATCTAGTTCTGCCTTTCAGGGCTGAGGTATCGTCATCATTACTGCTTGGGAGGTGAGGTTATGTGAGTCTCCTGGATGATGTTACTCCCAGCGTGGGTTTCCCCATCCCCAGGAGTTAGTTAAGACTTGATTTTATCAACATCATTGTACTATTTGCATATGTCCCTACTGGTCTCTGTTTGCAGTGTCCTATCTCCCAGCAATGTGGCAGACACACTGATCTTGTAAGACAAAGAGCAAAAAGTGTGTCTTCTTTGACCTCACCCCTGGGCAGAGTCAGTTGTGGCCCCCTCTGTTTCTGCTGTGCTTGTCATGGTGTGCTGGTTTTATCATTTCCTTGTCTGTCTCCTTCTCTAGATTGTAAGCACCATTTGGGCAGGGTTTGTGTCTCAATTATCTTTATATCTCCAGTGCCTTGGACAGTGCTGAGTAGTAACACAGTGGACACAGAGTAAATGAATGGTGATGGACCACTGACAGCTTGCCAGCAGCTGGCACTCGAGCATAAGTCTTTACAGCCTGCGTTGTGCTTGCATTACACAAATAATTGTTGAAAGGAATATGCATTGACAGATAGGCTTTGGGGCCATCCTGGGGACTTGCTGCTAATCCAGAGTATCCATTTTCCTCCTTTGGTAATACCATTTGGTGATTCCTGAGTGTCCATTTGAAAGTATGTGAGTTTTTTCTTACTGTTTTCTGCCTGGAGGGGATTATGTTTCATTTCTATATGTTCCTATTAGGAAAATAAATATCCCTGCTCTGTAAAACAGGATGTAGTATGCATTCAGTTTTATGAACTTGATGGAGGAATAGAGACCGAGTTGGAGACTGGGCCTCAAGGTGGAAGTGAGGATGTAGTGTTCTCTCCCCAAACAGGCTTCTTACCCATGATGGCTTCGCGGTGGTGTCCACCAGGCTGAGGCTCCTCCGCCATCTGACTGAGTTTGGCCAGGGCCTTCACAAGCACAGGCGACAGGATTTTCCCTGGGTATGACCAGATGCAAAGACTGCAGAGTCCGTGAGGACACCCCCTTGATTTCTCTGGCTCCCCGTGGCCCCCTACCCCAGGGGCTGCAGTTACTATGTTCTCTGTCAAGAACGAAGCCATAGGTATCCGAGGCCCCTTGGCCGCCATGGAGCCTGCCTGCACTGCAGGTCTGATTCCTGGGCCCTGTGAGGAAGGAGCCTGAGATGTTAGTGAAGCTCACGCACTCCGCTCTCACCTCCCATTTCTTCTCTTTTCCACTCACAGTCTTTAATGTATATAGAATCTCAGAATCTGACACCTTGTCCTTTTCTTTGCTATGCATCTGTGGAAGACACTGCAGTAGGGGAAGATATTGATGTCTCAGAATCAAGTTCTTCCTCTGTCTGACCTGCCCTAGATGAGTGTTTGCCCCTTCTCCATGACCTGCACCAACCCGTTGTGCTACCCAAGGGGAAGGAGAAGGAAAAAGATGATAAAACTGACGTCTGGATGAAGCTAATGTGTGAAATAGAAGGGCCCGTCGGGTTAGCCTTCAGAAACCTTTAGCCGCACATATCTCAGTAAAATATGAGTCTGCCATTGAAAACCTAACTAGACCGCTCGGCAGATCCTAGGTTTAGTCAGCAGCTTGGCACTGGTAGGATGCTAAAGTGCCATTGAGGCACTAAAAGGAAACGCGCAGAGTGTTTAAAAGAATCCGGTTTTTAAACAGCGGAGCATTCAGACCTCTGATTTGCATCCCCTTTTCTGGTAGCAGAGTTATAATTTAAAACTCTGCCATTGGAGATGTATGGGTCGCCGTGTCAGGGTGCACAGGGGTGGCCATTAATGCTGTGAGTTACAGCATGGTGGTGCCCTGTCAGAGTTAACTACGAGAGACCAGTGATAAATTCTGCTTTTCCAGGAGTTCTGGGGACAGGGGAGAAGAGGGTTGGTCTCGCATATCTGAAGCCCTCCTAAATCATTATGTTGACATTTTATTTAGAGAGCATGCAGCGTTCACGTTGTATGTGAGATCTGCATTCCTCACGTTTTTTACGTTTGCATTCTGAGAGCAGCTTTTCACAGAGCGCCTCTCAGCTGGTGGTGGGGCATTTCAACACCGCGGGGCTGGAGTTCTCACAGTTGTGATTGTTCGAATCCACTCCGAATCCGTGTGTGGGTACAGGCTGCAGTCAGAGTCCTGCCAGGTCCACTCGCTTGCTTCAGGCCAGACTGTCACGGGACGCTCACTGCAGTGGGATGGTGATGGTATTGGCTGGAATGCTCACGTGGCCGTTTACTAGGAACCAGAGTTCTCTGTGCCTCAGTTTCCTCACCTGTAAAATGGAGGCAACTGGGCACTAGTGCCCAATACGGTGACTATAGAAGTCCAGTGAGATAGTATTTGGGTGAATACTGTCATCTCCAAAGTCCTGTGAGAATGTCAGTTCCTGGGGCGTACTGAACTCTCTGCCAGAACACGCCTTCGGCGTCCCTGTGCATTTACTCACCTCTTTCTCAAAATCAGCCTCTTAAAGCAATGTCGTGTGTGTCAGTGTCAGTCTCTTAAAGCAACGCCATTCATAAGTTTGTGTGTGTGTGTGTGTGTGTGTGTGTGTGTGTGTGTGTGTGTATTTGTAGAAAGGTAGACCTTTTTTCCCCTGCTTTGAAGAGAATCTCCAACTGAGATTTGAAGTTTACTCATATTATCTTTCACATAGTTTCCTCTGTCTAGCATTGGGGAGAGAATCAGATAAAATATTATTTCAGGCTTGTCTGCCCCTTATGACACTTCCCTTTTGATGTCTAGCCAAGGAGCACCACTTGCTCAGACATAACTCAGCGATTATAGACTGCTGGGTCCCTTTCTATTTATGCTCCTGCATCTGACACTGAATTCCTTACAGGGGATGTGAAAAACGGGGCTTCTGGGACTTCTGAGTATTTGACAACAACCCTTAAATACCCCCAGGCACCCCTAAATTGAATGTCTAAAATAAACACTATTTTTCAAAAAGGTACCTAATGAGTGTATTTTAAAGTTATAAAAACAAAATAACAGTGACGTTAATAAAACTTTTTTTTTTTTACTCTCATGATACATTGAAAATGATAATGTTGCTTATAATGTTCTTATCACTGTGATTACTTAGGGAATTTCTAAAGTCTGTGTTTCAGTAAATGCCTCATAAATTCTAACTGTACTTCCCTGTATTGGATAGTTCTCGTTAATGTTTACATTACACATAATGGATGGAAAGGAGTCCTAAGCCTTCAGCGTGACTGCGAAGCTGGTTTCTGTTGCTTTAGGCTAAATCGTTAGTAGCTGTGAATATGCTCTTGCCAGAGTTGTGGGCTGGCTCAGGATGACGAATATCTGTGAGGGCCTCGACACCCTCACCTTACTCCGGTGAAATGCGCAAGTCGTAAAGCTGTGTGCTGAGTATGTGTACTTAGTACGTTAACATGGAAGCCGTTATTAAAATGCTAAGGTGGACAAATATTCTTCTTAAGCTGATGAGGGCGTCACAGGTAAAGAAGGTATTTCAGCGTCCTCCTTTTTTCAATGCTTGTAAAGATTGGGGATCCTTAACATGGGGCAGTTCTGAGGTCCTTGATGGTTTTTACTGATGACAGTATAAATCACTCCTCTCAAGTATCAGACTAATGGATGACGTCGTTAACAGGCTTATCTTGAAAAAACAATTTTCTAAATTTTTCACCTCCTGTAGGAAGTAATGATTTAGGCGAAGACCTGGATCAGTTCATAGTAAAATATGAGGGAAAGCAAACTAAGGAAGTTTGAAGTCTAAAAATAGAGACGTTACAAATGAGGGTAGATTAGGTCTCTGCCGCTATTCTCTGAAATTCAGGGTTTCCAAAATGGACATCCAAGAGACGAATAGACAAAAACGGTGAAGATTACACAGTCAAATCTAAATTGTGCTCTCAGACACACTTGATTGCTTCCAAAACCACCTATTTGGAATATAACGTTAAGACTGTTGTCCTGTAAGGCAAATTTGCATGTACCTAAAATTAATTATCCCTCACTATGGAACCAGTACGTGCTCATCGGAAACATTTTGGAAAATAGACGTATAAGGCAGGAAGCTAACATAATCCTCACTGTTAACACCTAGAGAGAAACTTAACATTTTGGTGTATTACAATACCGAACTTTGAATATTCCTTTTTTATTTTATGTAATATAGTAAATATTGTCCATATGATTCATATTTATTGGAAATGTGCTTATTAGTGACCACATAGTATTTTATTACAGGGATGTACCATGGGTTATGAAGCCATTACCCTGTCTGTTGCTTCCAGTTTCTAAAACCACAGATAAACTTGGAGATAGGTGTCTTTGTGCGTAACCTTTGGGCCCATCTCTCGTCCCTTGTGGCTCGTTTTTAGCAGTTGTACTGGGTCAAAAGTTATAAGTGATGTTAAAAAATGTACACATTGCTGAAGTGCTTTTTAGAAATGTTTCAATTTAAGCAAAAACATTCATATTTTCACCAGCGTCGTTAAATCTTTTCCACTGTGATTATCTGATCTAATCAGCCAGGCTCTCGGAAAGGGGAGGAACATTCATTGAGCCCAGATCCAAGCTTGGCCTCACTTCGCCTGCACACCAACCCCATTTCATTCCATTTCACAGATGAGGAAACGTGCTCCGAGAGGGTGGGTGACTTTTGAAGGTCACACAACCAGAAAACAAGGGGAGTGGTTGGTGATTCACGTTTAGGCAGTCTGATCCCAAAGTTCACTCTCTTTCGAAAGGTCTAAGATTGTCCCCTTTGTGATACTTATATTTATCCTTGGCTGTCCAGAAAACAAGTCCTGATTTTATTTTCTAAACTAAACAGGCAAGTCTCTTGGAGGATACTTAGTGCTTTAGTGGCAGTTAATAAACTCCATTTCTGAGGCTGTCAAGGACCTCACACGCATTAAGCACCCAGGCAGGTCGGGGTCCTGTTTCCAGGCCTCTCGAGCCATATCAGGTCCGCTGCCACCCACACCCCTGGCTGCTGTGTCAGCATGCACACCTGTTCATTCTACTCCTACGCAAGAGCTTTTCGCAGAGGTTTGAAATACTGTCTTTCTCAGATTCCACACAGTGATGCAACATCTCTGAAGAGAAAAATTAGAGCTTTAAAGCATCAAAGAGAAAGCATGGTGTTCGTTTTGCAAGGAGAGATTTCTTTTGAGTTTATTAGTAAATGTATCGGTGTCATTTCTGCCTAATAATTCCAAGGGACCTCTTGGCATCATTGAGGCAAAAAACAAACAACTTCTGATTATCAGCTGGTTTCTGTTCCAGGTGTGTGAATATCCTGATGGAACCAAGTCTTTGAAACTGGGAGACTTTGGGCTGGCTACTGTGGTGGAAGGCCCCTTATACACCGTCTGCGGCACACCAACTTACGTGGCTCCAGAAATCATTGCTGAAACTGGGTAAGACTCCTGGCGGTGTTGGTTAGTGCTTGAACTTAGGTGGGAAGAGGTGAGTTTGCTCCTACTGCTGTGTATTCAGATGCCTCCTGGGAAGGTGAAGGGCCAGAGAGACTGTTACCTTCACCATGAGTTTGATCTCAGGAACGAGAGTTTGTGCTTCTGCGTTCAAGAGCACTAGGCCTGGACTTTCGTCCCAAGGCTGGTCTTGGGACTATGGCAGTCATCCCTAAATTGTGGTTAGGTTGGGAGAAAAGCAGATGCCTTTGTCCAAAGGCCAATTAATTCCTCTACATGAAATGAGCAGCTTGACACTGAAAAGACTGCTTTTCCTCGCAAAGGCAAGCGCCCCGGTGATGTGGAGGGTTCTGGGAGTAATGTTGTTATTTCTCCCCTTTTGCCCCGTTTCCCTAGCTATGGCCTGAAGGTGGACATTTGGGCAGCAGGCGTGATCACGTACATACTTCTCTGTGGATTCCCACCATTCCGAAGGTCAGTGGCTCTTTGAGTGTCAATATTTGAATTGTAAACTCTCTCTCTCTGATCAGGAAGCAGACATTTTACTTCAGGCCATCAGGACCAGAAACGGGTTAATAAAAATGCCAGTTAAAAATTGTGTAAACATGTCTTTCACTTTTTACCTTAATTTACTACCTATGTGTGTATACCCCTTGACCATGTTTCTGATAAGAGGCCAAGGCCTTTGCTTTGTGTATGGTCCTCTGAGTTTCATAAAGTCATTCTTCTGTTAAACACATCCATTGTCCAGTGTCTACAGTTTCCATGCTCAGTCATTTTCAAGGGGAATTTAAGGGTATTTTTTTAAAGATTCTTGTGAAGCACTCTGATCTGTCTAGGTTAACCGTTTTCTAATTTTTAGTAGTTATCTCTCCTGCTTAATTTGGGAGCAGTTTTTTAACAGCTCACTTTTCAAAGCATTCAACCTAGAAATGGGAAATTCTTTTTAAATTCATTTTATCCATTCACATAGTATTTAATGAAGTAGAATTACATATATGTACTTTCTGCATAGATAGGCCTGGAACAAAATGATGGACTGTTGGTAGTCATGCACCTCACCCGCGAGCAGAGGTGGCCACACGTGGGGTCAGGGTGTGTCACGGAGGGCACAGAGCACACTTACTTGTTGCCTCAACAACTTGTGTACATGGGGTGAATGAGGGCTTCGGCCACAGCGCCTCTTTGGGTCAGTTCCATCTCCCTGTTTGGAGCTAATGAGTGGCTTTGAAGCAGAAGTTCATCGCATGATGCATGTTTGATGTTCTGAGTTTTCTTGAGCGCTCTTTTCATTTTAATCTTTTGTTCACTTGACAACTATTTGTTGAGCAGCTAAGCAACTGTGTGCCAAGCAGAGACCTAAGCATCAAATGATAAAACATATTCTCAGAGTTCATGATATTTATAGTGTGGTATTAGGTCAGCAAGTGAAAAATAGGTTCCTTTCACTCCTGTCCCAAAATTTGATGAGGAAAGCTTTCAAATACACAGAAAAGTTGAAAATTTTATCTTCTCAAAATTTTCAATGATCTGGTTGGTTGCACGGTTTTACTGACTTTACAGTAAACACAAGAGTGACACAGAGATGTCAGTCTCTACTTTTGAGAGTTTTATGGTATAAAGACACACATCACAAGAATATTGATCAAGAAAAATAAACTGAGCATGAGGGCCGCCTCGGTTGAGGGCTGGAAATCACAAACATTTAATGAAAGGTATAGCAAGTGGATAAGACCTTGTCCCTGTGGCATGGGTTGGGTTTCTGTAAGGTGGAAAGTGCTTTCTGTCTGTCCATCAATATCATGGTATTCCATCAAGGTCATTGCCTCGGTAGGTTACACAGACTGTAGAATGAGTGCACGTAGCAATTAGCATTTCCACCCCCCAGAGTTGGGGCTCTCAGTTAGTTCTGTGGATCAATTTGGCAGGTCTTCTGATCTGGGCTGGTTCAGTGGAGGGTTGGTGGTCCAGTGTGCCTCACTCATGTGCCTGGTTGTTGGCTCAGTGTCAGCTGGGACAACAGATATGACTTGGTCATGTGCCTTTCAGTATCCAGTGGGCTAGTCTGGGTGTCACATAATGGTAGATACAGGAACCCCAAAAGCATCCAGAGAGAGAGAGAGAGAGAGAGAGAGGGAGAGAGCTAGCTCCTTTGCTCAAATACTTGCCAAGTCTCTCTTTGCCTCACCTTTGTTGATTGATGTCCTGCTGACCAAATGAAGTCAGATCGCTAAGCCTAGAGTAAATGTGGGAGAAGATTAGATACGTATGTAGAGGGAGAAGAAAATTGGCCATTTTTTCAACCACCCTGTGCCCTGGTTGGTTTCAGTGTTGACCTCTTTTGGGAGCTAATCAAACAGAGAGGGTAGTCTGTTTTGATAGCTGGTGATCTTGGGACCAGTGACAGCAAAGTCCCCCTCATGGTTAGCACAAGTTGACATCCGTTGGAAAAGGGTATGAGGGACCAATTGTAGAGGAATGTATACTCACAACTCCCTCTAGTGTTCCCACTTGCCAGTGCAGCCTCTGAGTTTTTTCTTTGACTTTGCTTTTTACTTTTTAAACAAAAGTGAGTCAGATTGAACAAGTATGTATTTATCGGGACTTGTTACCCAATGGACAGCAGCTTCTCTGTGGGATCTGGAGATAAGCCTGTCTTATCAAAAACAGTAACGTTACATTCTGAAACCTGCTGCCCTTATATGTGATATTTAGAAGCTGATCTTACAACCCCAGGTAGCTTACTCCTGAAATTTATGAAAATGCTTTCCCTCTTTCATATATTGTGATGAGAGATAATCTGTAATGTTAAATACTAGTGGCAGAAGCATCTTCACAGCACAGACTCATCCTGGAAATATTTCAGAACCTACTATAATGTAAAAATATGTTTAGCAAATTGTGGAAATGGTACTTTGAATAATGATAAAGGGTATAAAATAGATTATCTATATAAATTTGCACCTAAAATGAAGGTCCTTCCAACATATTTCAAAACATTTTCTTCATTCTATACAAAACAATGGTTTTCACCCAAAGCTTTTTAATTGAAATTGTTTTTTGGAATTTACAGTTTCAGCTCCTTTACTTCTAGTATTGTTTTTCTTCTTTCAGACTTTGGTCCTAGCTTGCCACGTTTTCCCCCTTCAGTCTTCTCAACATCATTCATTGTTGCTAAGAAGGCTATTGGTTTTCCAGAGGCAACCATTTTAGCTATTGCCTAAGCAAGCGTGTTCTTAGGGTCACTGACAAAAAAGTAGTATTTGCATGACTCGACTGAGATTTTTGGTGTTTCTTTTAAACACACACACACACACACACACACACACACACACACACAAACCCATAAGTGAAATATTTGAACATCATTTGTAAACTAACTTATGTTTTCAGGTCACCTTGCCTGACTTTACCTTGCCCCGACTTATCGTAGAAAAGAGAGTGTATGCAAACTCTTTTGTTTCCAAGGTTTTTCTTCATGGACATTTTTAGACATATAGCACCTTGATCCAAAGACTGTATTGTTTGTTTTTTTTTAAATGCCCAGAAACGTCTCAGCCAGATTGTAGAGTATAAATGTGTTAATAAGTCCAGTGTAGATTTAATCAGAGTGTCTTTTATTATGTGACTACTAAGCAGGGTAAATTAATTAGCTTTAACTTTCTGTTTTTTTAGTGCAGGACAACCCAAAACTCCCTGGCGGTTCACAGCCTGGCTCCGTTGGGGTGAATCCTAATTGCCCAGGCATCCTAGGGTTTTATTTGCTGACTCAGGCTGTTTTACCAAGAACCGAAATGAAGGCTGCAGACTCACTTCCAATTTTTTAGCTGTTTATTAACAAAATAAAAACCATATATATTAACAAAATGTAAGCTAGGAGATTCCAGAAAAAAAAAAGGAATAAAAGGGAGATGAGTGGAGTAATAAATAGAGAGGGGTGGCTAAAACGAACAATTGTGGAAATAGGTGACTTATTTTATATCTTCTAACATTTTCTCCTGGGGGCCTCTGATTTTCTAAAGGTGTACATAAAATCTCATTGTGTTCTTAGGTGTGTCCATCACTCATTTTGAAGGACAGTTAAGCTCAGTTCAAGCAGTAGGGAAATAATAATGAAAAGGAAAGAAAACATTTAGACATCTAGAAAGAAATAGCTTGTACACACTCAAAGAAAACCACTTTTCAGGAGGGCAGTGGGGATCACTTGCCTGGTCGGTTATCTGGTGATCTGACTTTTACGTGACTAGCTTTTCAGTATGCCTCCTGACCCAAACTCCATGGACCAGCAGGCGAGGCTTCACCTGGGCTTGGGTAGATGTCATGGATATTCACACATCTCACAAACTCTTTCTCACAGACCAGGAACGAGGCAGCCACTCATCGCACAGCCTCAGAATTTGTCTCTAGACACTGCCCTAAGTGACCTGTTTCTAGGAACAATACGCTTGTCCTTGCCTGCGCTGAGAGGGCTGGTGGCCTGACCAGGATCCCACTCAGAAGCCTGGGTCTCCTGTGAGCACCCTGAGCAATAGGTAGGAAGCTTTAAAAAAAATGTGCACTTGCCAGGTGAGACTGAATTTCCACTCCTGGATTTTGATCTTGACCCCAACAGTACATCCTGAGTTTTCTAGTAGGACTTCGTAATAACCTCGGAAGCTGATGACTTGGTTCTCACCAGCAATGCACCCACCAGGTGAGGGGGTGCTCCATGGCTGTGCAAATTCAGTGTTCTGGGATGTTCGGGATGTCCAGCTTCCTAAATTTTTCCCAGCAGTGTTTTCACATTCCCATGGCAACTTCCATCAAAAATCAGGTCGTCATTTATTCGTTAGGCACCAGCTGTGTGTGTGTGTGCGCGCGCGCGCGCGCGCACCTTTGAGGGTGGGCAGTTAGGCACAGGTTGGGGGCGGATGCCTTTTTCACATATTGGCTGCTTCATTGATCTTTGGCTGTCTTATTGGAAAGTTGGAAAGAGGAAAGGCGAGGAGATCTGACTCAGCTTTGCTTCTTTGCACTCTGTTGCCCTGAGAGATTAAGTGAAGGCAGATGCTGAGACAGTTTTGTTTTTTTGTTTTTTTCTGAAATGAGGGTTTATATTTGAGGATTCCATTTTTTTCTGGTGGAAAAATGTACATCATGTGAAATGGATCATTTTAATAATTTTTCAGTGTACAGTTCAGTAGCATTAAGTACCTTCACAAGGTGCCACCGCCATACCATCCATGTCGAGAACCACTTCCTCTTCCCATGCTGAAGCTCTAGACCCACTCAACACATTTCTTGAGTATTTGTCTGCTCTCTTGTCTTCCTCCTTCTCTTTCCTCCTCCCTCTCTCAGTCTGCCTCCCAGGCCTAAGGAAATGTTCTTTAGTCCACTGATTAAAAGGAAAAATGCAGTGAACATAGGAACTGCCCAAGCCAAAGAGAATGGACTCTTCTCCCCACTCTGCCCGTGAGCATTTTGTTTAAAAACTGGTGACTTTGGCTCTTCTTCCATTTCTTTGTCACTGACAGTGAGAACAATCTGCAGGAAGATCTCTTCGACCAGATCTTGGCTGGGAAGCTGGAGTTTCCAGCCCCCTACTGGGATAATATCACGGATTCGGCAAAGGTACCATCCGGGCCTGCTTCTGTGGGTTACATGGTGTCGAGGGGTCCTCACCTCACACGGGGCTATAACACGTCTTGGTGTTGTGCTCCGATCTGTCTTGACTTTGGATGTGTGGTTTTTCTTTAAGTGCATTCCATAGTATAGTCTCTGAAACTCTTACCTAAATTCTGAAAACTCAGCTGGCTGTCTTCCCAGTTTGCCCTACCATCCCCGCTTTGCTCGTCTAAGCTCTAAACATTTGTTCTGTCATTTAATCAGTAAATACGTATTGGACAGCCATCAGAATATAAGAATGGACTCGGGACACATACCGCATTGCCAAAAGGAATAACACTGCAGTATAACACTGTGGACTGGTGGTAACGGCAGGACTCGTAGGAGAGAACATCTTGGTTTAATATAGGCTCAGGGGAGACCATCTCTTCCCTCACCCTGCTGCCCACACGAGGCAGCTGTGTCTATGTAATTGCCTCGTCGGCACTGGGAGTATAGGTGATAATAGCTTTTCCGTTCAAATGGCTGAGCAGCTGTGTTGGCTGTTCTTTGAAGTACTTGGTGCAAACTCAGGTTTCTGTGTTTATGCTGGAATTACCCCCTTTCATCTCCTCTATGACAATAAGTCTTTCTTTCCTTCCAGGAATTAATCAGTCAGATGCTTCAGGTAAACGTTGAAGCTCGGTGTACTGCGGGGCAAATCCTGAGTCACCCCTGGGTGTCTGTAAGTACCCACATTTCCGGGAAATGAACACCTGTGTGGCTAACAGCATGCTTCCTAGCCGTGGCTTTTGCACAGGCAAAGCTCCATGGCAGATAGAATGTCTTTCTCCTCTGATGAGTAAGTAGCTTGGAGATAGGAGGAAGCAGTTGGCACCAGGATCTCTGAGTGTTCCGTTCTGCTTTGTGAGTGACCAGGGCCAATCACTGTCCCTTTCTGGGCCTCGTTTTCCTCTGCTGCAAAATGAAGTGTTTAGCCGGGATGCTCTTGAAGGAGCCTTTCAGCTTTTGCCTTCTGGGGTTTGAGGGTTTTGAGGACTTGCCCAGAGATGGGCATGTTTCAGCCTCTGATCGCTCTGTCTTCATGGCACATGGCCACAGGAGACCTCCTGCTGAGGGTGGGTAGGTGAGACACAGCCCCTTTCAGAGCGGGGCAGAGCATGTGTCACGTTAGCTGGCATTCCTTCAGGCGTGGGTTTAGGGTACACAGGGTCCTATAACTGGCGACACTGGGAACGTTTGCACTTCCCTTGTTCCTGGAGGCTCCAGGATGGCGAGGTTAATTTACTCTGCCAAGGGCTTTTGCTAACTTGGGTCCTGTGGGTCTCAGCCACCCCCCCCCATCCCGCACGTCCTGACATCGGGGTTCATCCTCTGGATCCTGCTGAGTGGCTTGGCTCTTGGACCAAGTAGCTAAGACACCACATTATTTTTATGAGCAACAAATGCTAATTACTAATTGAATTCTTGGTTAAAATGATGAGCTGTTCATTAATTTTGATGTTTCCACGGGAGGACCTGTACTAAATGATGTGGCACTTGTGCTGTGGGGGAGGGTCTCAGAACCCTGGAGAGCGTTTTCCCCGGGGCCCTGGAGACCTGTGCTCTCCCCTTGGCCTACTCTAGACCCAAGGAGCAAGGTGAATGGTACAGGGTCTCTCTGAGGCCACGGGACTGCTGAATAACGGGGATTCTTGTTAAAAGTTCATTGTCCCCTAACCTTGTGGCTAAGGCGAGCCCACTTAAGAGGTGGTGGTGGTGGTGGCGGCGGGTGGTGTGTGCCTGTTAAGGAAAAGACAAGTTAGGCATGAGAGTGAAAAATCACTGTATTTGATTCTGTTCTATAGGATGATGCCTCCCAGGAGAATAATATGCAAGCTGAAGTAACAGGTAAACTGAAGCAGCACTTTAATAACGCGCTCCCCAAACAGAACAGCACCGCCACTGGGGTGTCTGTTATCATGGTAAGTGGAGCGCATGGCTCCGCCTTCGGAAAGCTGTAGTGTCTGGCCTGACTGCTCAGCCAACACTGGGGCTTTTCAAGTAAATTGCCAAGAGCGTCCCCCACATGGAAGTTGGCGCCTTCCACGTTCCTCTCTTCACTTCAGGATTGGCTTGGCACAGGAAGTGCACCCATCTGGCCATCCCAGGCCTTGAGTCCTGGGGTGGGGAGTTGTGCAGGTACCAGCGCGGCCAGGCTGACGGGCCAGGCGCCGAGCAGCCCCTGGCCTGTTCTGGGCTCGGCGCCATCCTGGGCAGCTGCTGCTCTCTCTTCTGGAGAGGGCTCTGCCCAACCGGGATTTACAGTATAAGGAAGTAACTCCCTGTCTACTCAAGGCTGCAAAAATAGATTATTTGAGGTGCGAATTATTCTTTGGGACCTGAGATAGAAACAGCCAACATTAAACAAATGCCATTTTAAAAAAAATCAGTATTTTGTGGCTTCTAAAAGTACAGAACAATGTAAAAAAATTTTTTTTCAGTTGGTAAAAGGTTATGAGAAGTCAGTAACAGTGACCCCCATATTTTTTCAGACCTTCCTTCTTCCAAAAATGTTTTTAAGGCAGCTCACCGAAATCCATAAACACAACACATTAAAAGTGGCATTAAAGTAAGTTAAGTACCACTGAAGTAAGTTCAGCAAAAGGAAAACAAGGGCAGAACAAATAAAATGGAGCCACAAGTGTGGTCAGCACACCCAACCAAGCTGTCCAGCCCTGAGTCCTTGCCTTAGATCTGGGGCCCGAAAGCCAGCTCTACACAGCCTCACACCTGTTACAGTGCCTGGGTACAAAGTAGCCCAGTGTCTCAGCCCACGCTCTCTGCTCCGCCCACATCACTCACAGGACCAGGGGCAGGCCCGAGGGGTTGCCTTCCTCAGAGCCAGTCAGCTGTAGTGTCTTCAGAACGGGACTCTCTGAGGACATGGGTGACTGAGTTAGCGTGTTGGCCACCCCTGACAACAGCAGGTCTGAGGACCAACGAAGGCCACCTGGGGGCCTGACAGCTCCTGATGGGCCGTCTCCACAGCTCCATGATCCACACCTCAGGATGGGCCTCTCACCTCCTCGAAAAGGTTCGATTTGGTTCCTACCCCATAGTCGCTTATTCTCATGGCAAATCGTAGTCTAGGAACCTCAGGAGATCCCCATAGAAGTGGGAGGGAAAGCCCC